TAGTCGGTGGGTCTGCGTTCTTTGAAAGGCGTCCCTGCGTTCTTCACAAATTTGTGTCATTGTGAAACTGACACGTTGAAGAGCATGCACAACTTTGTCGCGGAAGACGGCCAGGTTCCGTGTCTCCTCTAACAGCGCCTTTGAAGGGAAGGAATAATAAAGGACGTGCATGAAATACCCCACAGTTCGCACCTTCTGCACAGGATTTTCAGAAACTGAGAAGTGCATAAAGCCGTTTGTTCGATTTGAAACTATGCAGTGGTCTCCAATCCCTGCTGGACTCAGTGTGGCCGAGAAGAAGGCTATCGGACACAATGGAAACATGACCGCCACAAAACACTTGCCTTATCATCTTTCACGATTATCTGTACAACTGATGCTCTCAAAAGTGGTAGAACCAACGCCTTCGAGTGCTTAGTTGGCCAAATTGTAACATATAGGACGCATACCCCCAAAGCTGATGGATGCTGAATTGGCCGTAATCGATGGCCTGCTCTAAAGTCCGTGGGTACTTACGGACCACTAAGCGACAGAACATTTAGCCTCTGCACATTCTGTGAATAATCGTGAATCAGAGACGGGAAAAACAACTGTAAATGTACTTGCCCACTGACGACCACATGTGTCTAATAAGACTGAATTTCGAAATGTCTTTCTGGAATGATATGATCTTGGCCATATGACTTAGCCAGAACTTTTAGTGCAATGTTTCTGTCGGCCGATACTACAGGGTGCCCCACGAAAAACCCCTAAATTTATGATAATGCTTATACTGTTATAAAAATAAAAATTATTGATTACAATTATAACTAACAACTTGATAATGTTTATACTGTTATAAAAATAAAAATTATTGATTACAATTATAACTTACAACTTTATTGTGTAATTAACAAACTGTTACCTAATAACTGGTCAGTTGTAATGGCACCAAAAAATTTAGGCAAAATAATCCGACATTTCTGCAACCCCCATGTTGGATGTTCTTTCCGGAATAGGACGAT